TACAACCCTGTAACTATATTTATTGCTTATAATTGTTAATAATTGTTTTCTAACTTCCTTTATATTATTTTGTGTTAGGTAATAATTTTTTTATTATATATTGTTTACAATAATCTTTATTTCAATTTTTCTAAATACTTACAATTAATATTATATAGCTTCTAAAAAAAATCAAAAACACCTATAGTGCTGCACTTCAAAGCATTAGGTCTACAATTTGAAGTGTTTTTGGAATTGGAAAGTTGTTTTGTTTAAGAAGTAATGCAGCTGCAGCCAATATTGTTAAGTGCAAGAAAAGTTCAGAAATAAGTACTTGGTATCACACACTATTTAAAAAAATAATAAGGTCATCTTTTGGGTGTCTCTTATCACAAGAACAGCTTTTACTATGGCAGCAGTCTTCACTATAACCAGTGAACATTGTGCATTTATACTTGTGATTTGTGACATTCTTCTTAACTTCTGGTTATGAAATATTTTGTATAAGAAATTATGTATAAGACATAGAATTGAATAATATTTGGTAAGTAATTGTATATTTTGTTTTTATAGGCAATTATATTAATATTTAATATTTGAATAGAGAGATTTTAAAAATAGTGGCCCATCATATTAATCTGCAGAATATATATTAAATAGTAAAGCTGGTAATAAATGATCAAAAGAGGTCTTATCTTAAGATTTTGATCCTGAATCTTATTTATAAAAAAGCCTATTGATGTTACAAGAAGAGATGAATGAATTGTTTGAAATCGAATATTAACAATAGTTTTTTGTGTAATTTTTTTTCCTTTGTATTATGTTTTTTGCTTTAAATTATGTTATTTTTTTTTTTATTGTTTTTTTTTCTTTGTATTGCTTTTTTTTAATATTTAATACATCAGTTTTAATATTAAATATATGTATATAATAAAGGTTATATTTAATAAAATCATTTACTGTTTTAAGCATTTTTAAAACTAGCATTGTTGCTTTATTGTTATAAATTAGTAGTATAAAATTTATTTGATACTTATTGATATAAATTGGGATTTTTTATATAATTGATTAATAATAATTTTTTGTTATAACTGCTATATATTAATGTTTATCATAATTGATATAATCCAATGGGGAGATTATTATCAATATATATTTGCATAGATAATAATTAATATATATTGGCCTATAGTTTTTGTTGATGTATAGAGAATACATGTAAAAAAATCAATGAATAAGAAAAAAAAATTGGAATAATAGATAAAATTAAAAGAAAAAAAAGTGAAAAGCTAAAGAATCTAAAGAAAAAAGAAAAAACAAATCAGAAAAAAATAGAAAAAAAGAAAGAAGAATTAAGAGAAAAAAAGAAAAGCAAGTTGAGAAAGAAGTAATAAAGATAATGTTGAGACTTGTCATAAAAGAGAGAAGATCTTTTTATTATGAACTTTAAGTAATCAGACAAGCAGCTTACTTCTGCTCAAAATAATATATCAGGTTGCACTTAAATATTATTAAGATGGCTGGCTAATGCTAAATTTAAGTATTAGGAATATTTAAGTAATTATAAATGTAATTCCAAAATCTTAATAAAATATTAGTATACTGTTTAAAAAAAAATAAAAAATAAAAAAATAATAATAATAATCTTTAACTTAATCCAACTTATTATAAAAGTTATTTAAATTCAATTTATAACCAATATAACATACACTTCTAAATATTATTAAATTATACAAACTACAAATCATTTTTTATAAAGTGCAAGCCTATTCAGATAACTATCTTAATGAGCAAACAGATTCTTTTACTAAATAATACCTATTATTATTATCTCTTTTATTTAATTATACAAATATTTATAATTTTTATCATATTCTTTAATGAGAACAGCATTATATAGAACTTTTTATAAGACATTTTATTAAATAAATTTGTAAAGCTCATATTTTAGCTATATAGACATTATAAAAATGAAACAGTAAATAGTCATACTTTAACCAAGATATTGATTGGAAATTTACTTGATTTTACTTTAATCTTAATTAAAAACCTTCATATAATATTACTAAATTTAGACTTAATTAGCTAAACTCTTTTAAAACAAAAATTTTTTTTAATGAGCTATCAACATATTCATTATATCATATTATTTATCCAAGCCAATATCTAGACATTACTTATTTTTATTTTAATTTATCTAATTCTTTTTTTTACTAGCATATTTGTGCTAACTCATCCTTACTCAACTAAATTATCCAAACCTCTACTATTTAAATTATTTTTAATAACTTACCTGATCTTAATATTTATCAAAAACATAATTTAATTAACAAAATTCACCATTACCTAGCTCTTAATTCTTCATACACATTATTTAATACATTTTATTCTAATCTTATTCTTAAAAGACTTATTCCAAAATCATTTATATTAATAATTCAAAACTCTGATATTTTATACAAAACTGCTTTTTAAATTATTATTAATATTCTTTTTAATATTAATGAATAATTATATAAACAATTATAAAAAACATATTGTATATACTTTTCTAATTAAAATAACAACAAAATAGATTTTAATCTCAATTAATTAATCAACCTTTAAGATTACCTAATCTAATTACAAAATACATATACTCTTAAAAAAACTACACTTATTTATATTTCTATAAACTTTCTGATCAATTACATTCTTGTATAAATACATGTTTTTCTATTAGTCAAGCAATTCATAAAATTAACATTTGATCTATTTTATAGATCAAATATCATATCATCAAATTATATACCAAATATTCAAATCTAGATGAATTTTGATTACTCTAGTAGATTTAAATCACAGATAAACTAGTTTGAGTTTTTATTCTTATATCTAATTTTTTATTTTTTTTATTTTTTTAAGATCATACTTGTGGTAATACTTTATTGACTTTATATTGGATTAACTATTACAACTATTTTTACAAAAATGAGAATACAACTAGTCATGTATACAACTTTTGGTTGCCTATTTAAGTAGTTTGCTCTAAGGTTTTACACTAGATATCATACCTATAACCTTCTAAAAGATTATTCATTTAAATCTTCTGATCATCTGCTCTGTCATATTGGAATCTCCAACTTATCCTCTGTATATACCTAACTGGTATATCATCTAAGCAGTATAGTTACCTACTTTTTTTGTACTGGTTCCTAGGCCATTATATATTTCAAAGTATGCTACCTGCCAGTAAGATGCAGAAGGCTTCCTATTGTTAACTATCTATTTACTTTTAAAGTACTAATACAGGCTATCTTTACAGAATTTATTCAGACCCCAGTACTAACTTCACAGTATATTTTTAGTACTTTTAGTATATCCTTATTTTGAACTCAGACTCCTGATCCAGATAGCTCAAAAGGACTATGATCTGTTCTTGGTATATTGAGGTCAGCTTAATATCCTTTTCCTCTGGTCTGAAATCTAATAGCCTGATTGGTAGTACCCCTCATCTGAGGTTCTTGTCTGTCCGAATCCTTCATATTGATATCTATTTCCTAGGTCTAACCTTTACAGTAGTACTGTTAAAGATTTATGTTATCTCTCTGCTTAGAATTTTCAAGTGAACTCTGACTTTTTAGTTCTATAAATGTACACAACCTGAGAACTTATTTTAGGTTTGCACTGTCTGGTACTGGTTTGCATTCCTCTGTATAACAGGTTACACAGATGCTCCAGACCTGCCAGTCATGTTGATGTGATCATAGTTACAGGTATCCTATTCCAACTGATTAACAGAATGTCATTACCATAATACCATCTATATATTACATAGGTGATTATCCAAATTTCACTATCGGTGAGTTTTGAACTCACAACCTACCATTTAGAGGTATGTTAACTTATTCACTTTACTAAGTCACCACATTCCTTATATGTAATTTTCAATTTATTTGTTTTGTATAAATAGTAATAACTATATAGTTAACAGTTTAATGATTAATCCTGACTACAAGTGTTGACCTCAACTATAACATATATATATGTAATTATTTTAAATTATTAATAAAGATATAAATAAAACCTCACCCTAATACCAAAAAAAAAAAATTTTATTAATCAACTTTATTTTAAAATTCTAATTTTGTTCTACAGTTAACCTTCTCAAAACCGATCCTGTCAAAACTGATAACCTGTCAAATCTGACAAAAAATTAATCTACTAAGTCCGCTCCCATTATATAAATCTAATATTTGCTATGTTTTCAAATCCGATAACTGATACAAAACCTGTCCACCATGCATACCGATTCTGAGAGGGTCAACTGTATATATAAAAAAAATATATATATAAGTCATTAAACTTGAATATGTTTATAAACTTTGAACTAAGCCTGAACTTAACTTAAAATTCAATATTGAACCTAAACTGAATTTTTTTTTAAAAAAAGTTCAAGTTCAGTTCAATTTTGAACAGAACTTAAATTTAACCTAAAGTTCAGTTCAGTTCATAGGAACACTCTCGTTATAGTGAAGTGATTGGGCTGTAAGATTTTCTTCACTACATCGAAAGTCTATAAGTAAATTCACTATATCGAGATGCTTTTTATATAAACCGGTCTTCACTATCTATAACGAAAGTGATTTGTATAAATCGGGACGTTAATTAATCTTCAAGAGTTTACTATAACGGAAATGATTTGTATACGTATAACGATGCACATGACCATTGGAACTTGGTTCCTCAGGTCGACTCAAAAGACCGACTTGAACCGGACTTCTAACATCCCTATTGACAGTAACACCGATATCTAATTTCAGCATTGATCGACAAAAATTTTCGGCACCATCTTTTAATTCGTGGCAGCATTTGGTTGGGATGCTTATTTTTTTGAACTTCTTTTGCTTATATCGTTACAACGCAAAATGCGTTCTTGTTATATTTTGGTCTTAATAACGCTAAGTGTTTGCTTTATATATAATACTTTGGTCACAGCAGATGCACCGCCTAATGTTCCTCAGCATTGGCGTAATACAAACATGGCTCGTACGATAGACCTCTCTTCGTATGTAGTTCGTGAGTCTACCGCGGTCGTTTCACAGAATGTTCATACTGAACCAGTAGGGGAATATTATTTCCCAATTCCAGATGTCTTGGCTGAGCATTTAGCATATATTGAAGTCAAGGAAAAAAAAACTGACAAGTTTTTTGCTGTTGAAAAAGTTGATTTAGTAAAGTGGGTATCTAATTTTATCGCGAATAGTAGTCAAATCAACTTTTAAGATTAAAATTATTTTTTAATCGATGCTTTATCACAAAAATTAAAATAATTTTAGCCAGACCCAATACTACAAAATTTACTTTGATCATCGCATTGATCCGCAAGAAAAAATTTTATTCATCGTGAAAACAGCCTATACTCATGCAGTAACTCCTTACCCATTCGAAATTGCCCAGACTGGAAGGCAAAACTTGATATATCGTGGAAATATTTACGGGAACAGCGCATATTATACGGAAAAGCAGAAGACTAATGTCAAGTTAGTGGTTATATTTTCTGTAGTCCGTCTTAACGACACATTGATTTCTATGTAATATTGAAAAACAAATGGCAGATTTCCTACTGTCAATATAATAGGATATACACAGAAACCCGGTCTTGTGAGCCGTAATACCAACATTATCACCTATGGATCATTTAGCGACCAAGAGCCTGGTGCGTTTGACGAGCTCTCGGTACACTATGAATTCCAACAGGCAATTTTGACTGTTAAAGGTTTAAGACGTGATTTAGAAATTAGTCATTGGGGTGGAAATTTAGCAGTTGAGGAACATTTCAATCTGACACATGATGGTGCAAAGTAAGTTTGTTTTCGATTCAGTTGTGTGAATTCATAAAAATCAAAACCTTAAAACGAATGCAATTTATTACATAAAGATTGAAGGGTCAGTTCTCACGATTGGAATACCAACAAACACAATTTATTCATCACGAAACTACTATGGCACGTGATTTTTTAGTAAAGTTACCTGCCCGCGCATCGGATGTATATTATAGAGATGAGATCGGCAATGTATCAACTTCACGATTGAGAAATGAACGAGACACAACAGTTTTAGAATTTAGACCGAGATACCCACTTTTTGGCGGTTGGAATTATACATGGCATTATGGATATAATGTTCCCCTTGGTGATTTTTTAAGGTACCATAAGAGTGGTAGGTATATTTTGAATATACCCTTTATTAATCCGTTACATAACGCGGCTTTCGATCATGTACAAGTTAGAATAATTCTACCCGAAGGAGCAAGGTAAAACAATAAATTTTGGTGATGAAATTTTTTTCTTCAGTTTCTAACATTTCGTTTATCTATTATAGTAATGTTAAAGTGGAGACACCATTTCCCATCAGTAGAGAAACTCATGGAGTGCATAAAACGTATTTTGACAGTAAAGGACGGTACCTTGTTGTTTTGGATAAATTTAATGTTGTCGAAGAACATTCGAAAAATTTTCAGGTTTCTTATGAATACAATTCGCTAGAATTGCTTAGGAAACCATTGGTAGCCACTACCTTCTTTTTATGCGGCTTTTTATTAAACATGGTATTTTCAAGAATGGAATTTAGTATTGGAAAAAAAGTGCAATAAAATATGCTGCAAAAATTTCATTCTGCAAAGCAATCGTTTGTTTTTAACATCGTATTTATTGTAACAGATTGGAATAATATTTTGTCCTTATTGTTGGATTTGCCATTTCTTTAAACAATCAAAGCTATGATCGTTAAGTTTGCTAAACTAGTTTGATTAGCTACACTATTTTATATAGTTATTTTTGTGTAAATTAAAATTGTAACTATCTAAAAAAATATATTAGGTTGGTGCATTATAGAGATTAGATAAAAATTAACTATGTAGAAAAATTTATTTTACTAATTGCACTAATAATATTAGGGCTATTAAAAAACTTATTTAAGTTGGTTGTTAAGTTGATTTAGTAAAAATTTTTTATTTTTGATTTGGTTTTTTTTTTGTTTTTTTGTTTTTAAGAAACAATGTTTTTATTCAAGTTTATAAAACATGGATACTTTTAAGGCTTTCTTATATAGAAGGTTACAACTAACCAAACATGCATTTTGGTTTTTAATTTAAGTAGCTCATTTATATATTATTTTACAGGTTTTATACTAGATATTATACTTACAAGTTAACTATGAGTTTTACTTATTTAATCTTCTGCATATGTGATCTATCTTGTATTATAAGGATATTTTTAAGGTTACACTTATTCATAGTATTTAATGCATATTATTACATTTAGAATTATTTTATTTTTGATAGAAAAAACTTACTAAAATCTTTTATATCTAATATACAGTTATATAATATGCTATAGTTAGATTAATGTTTACAGTTACAGGTATTATTAGTTGAATTATTACATTATATTATTTTTATTCTTGTAAAGTTTACTAGAATTTTAATACTTATTTTTTTGATATTTCTTTATTATTTTTTATTAAATTTTTTTATTCAGAATAACAGAATTCTTTAAACTATCAATTTAAATACCTAGTATAATATATTTTTTATCTTTTTTTTGTCAAATTCTGATAGTTTGGTTGGTTATATGTTTTTTTATACATCATTATTATTGAGTTTATCTATTTATCTTTTTAGAAAATTTTTGAGTTTAATTTACTTTTTTTAAAATACTAATATATTTAAATAAAATTTGGTATAATAATATTTGAAAATAAGGATTATTTTTATGATATTTATTTTTAAATTATAAAAAAAAATTTCAGATTACTTATAAACTAAAAATATATAGTTTTAAAAAAATTTTAATAAAAAATATTTTAGTTTATTTATAATAAACTTTTAAATATTAATTTTAAATCTATAATTTTTAATACAACTTTTTAGTTATATTAAAAATTCTAATTTTTTTTGGTATTAAGATAACTTCTTTAATTTTTTGATTTTATTAATATTTTTAAATAATATATTTATATAGAACTATTATAAGAAGAGTGTACAACTAGCTACTTATATAATTTTTTTATATCATCTATTTAAGAAATTTGTAGAAAGTTTTTTATTAATTATTATATTTAACATCTTTGCTTAAATATTTTATTTTAACTTTTTGATTTTGTATCTTTATATTAACTTCACTAAGTTATTTTCAAATCTTTGTCTTAATCTTAGAACTAATTTATTCTTAAGAAAAATCTTCTGAAACTTTATATTTCTATTTATAGCTAATTAGTATTATTATTATTAAGACCAATATTTGCAATTAAAACTAATCATTAAACTGTTATATTTTTGTAAAGTTTATACAATTTTAGTATTGTTTTTTACAATCTTACTAGTGCTTTGTCTATTCTTACAAGTTCTTTTATACTATCAATTTAGTAAGCTTTGTATAATATAATTTTATAACTAAATTAATTAGTAGCCAAGTTGGTAGATTCTTTTTATTTAAAGATTTTTATCTATATAAGTTGTTTGCTTTAAATTTTCTTTTTCAAATCAAGGTTTTTGCAGATGATATTATTAAAGATTATACTATTTTTTTATTTGAAATTTTTAAATAAAACTTCTTATAGAATATATATTTTTTAGATTTATTTATATAATATTGTATACTTTTAAAATTAGTCTTAATATAATTAAAATTACAAAGTTATAATCTCAGATACTTTATCAAAATTGCTAAAATAGAACTATTTTTAAAAATTCTATTACTAATAAATTTTAAATTTTAAATTTATTGTTTAGAAAATAACAACTTAACAACTATACTAGAATTGTTATTTTTAAGGATAAAGGGTATATAGATTATTTTTATATAGTTCTATATAGTATTTTGAAATTTTTATATAAAATTAAAATATATTACTTATAAAACTTTTTAAATTACAACCAATTTTTATTAAAATTTTACAAAATATAAATAAAATAATTTATCTATTATGATAAAAATTTGAACTATTATTATATTTAAAAAAATATATACTTACATATATTACAAAGTTTTTCTAGAATAGCTCAAAATTTTTTAGATAGTACAAAAATACTAAATTTGATTGGTTAATTTATATAACCCTATAAGTTAAGTTAATTAATAAATATTTATACTTAATCTTTAAAAAATTATATCTTACTAAGTTTTTAATCAAATTTAATAATTTTACTGTTATTAAAATCAAAAAGACCTGTTTTATAAACTTTTCTTATAAATTAATATTAGTTTATTTAATATAATTTTTATAAAATATGTAGAGAACCAAGAAAATGATGGTCAGACTCAATGCACAGAGCAGACTATGGAACTCTTTGCAGCTGTGAGAGCTGAGCTTCAAATGGTGAGTGCCCTTGTAGAAGACAATATATCAGGGTCAACTACAACATCTTCAAAATCTTTTAACCCTAATGCATGTTATAATTTATTCTTATATAACAACAATATACCACTAATCTATTATCCTTAAATATTATATTCTTTTATTCAATATTTACAACACCACAACTTTACCAAGCCATTTAAAATATCTATTAATTTATCTCATACAGAAAC